AAGCGCATTCCTTATTGGACTAGACTTTTGTTTTTCTTGCGTCAGGCCGAGCGTGGCACCGCATACTCAACCCAGTAGTCCTAAAAGTGGAAAAGTAACAACCAGGACTGGTGACGTCATTCACCATTGTTGCTATGGCAGCTAAGGACAGTGAAAACAAATGATTTCCTTTCTCGCCGCCACCGTAACAAGAATTTGTTGGGGTCTTAGGGCCAGACTAGACTTTTAGGAAGGAGTTAACAACAAACACGTCTGGCCAGACGCGTGGAGAAAGTTTGTTTACGCCCGCCTCCACCTGTGTTAAGAAAGTGAATGGTCAACAAGGGGCACTTTTTCCGTTGGTTGGTCTATTTTAAGTCAGTCCCACCTGCACGAGACACTCAACAAAAAGTTGTTTTCACAATCGGGGGAATGAATCCAGCTGGTCCCGCTGTGGTCAGGGTCGGAAGAAAGTGGCGCGTGCCTCCCTTATCCCGTCGACCCCTGTCCCGTTACCTTCTATTGTCCTCTCTCCTCTTGTGAGCATCTGTTACTTTCTCCTCCGCGTCTGGCAGGAGTCGTAGCACCGCGCTACGCGCGTTAACGCGCGGTCATCACCTCATGGTTTTCGGTGCAATTCCAACATTGTACTAAACTCTGTTAGTCAGGTATTGATCAGTTAGGGATGAGGTCACTCCGATCGCCACCCCCTGCCGTAAAATGCCGGGTTCCCCCCAATCTATTCCTCCCTCTAACTCCTACATAATAGAACTAAGTCTCGAGACAGCTGCCAACCCCGATCTAGGTCAGAACTGGTTGTGTATGAGGGGAAGACGAGGGGTGGGATGTACTATAGCTAAGCGCTGCGACCAGTCGGAGAAGCGGTCAGATGTTAGAGCATGTGCAGTGGAGAACGTCGGTACGAATGCGTCTCCTGTTTGGATCAGTCGTACGTTGTAAACAAGCGTTTCTGCAAGCACAAGTTTCATCATCTCTTGACTTGTCAGGTAAGACGGCGGGAGACCGCTCGGCTTTTTCCGATCACGTGTTTTTACCACGTGACGCTTGCGTGTGGAGTCTGTCGGGCACACTCATCTCGATTGTCAGCGACGTACCCGCCTTCTTTAAACATTCTTACTTTGGCGCGATTCTTAATAGTCGCAAAATGAATGGACTCAGGTTAGTATACTCGGGCGCATTATCGATTGCGTAAATATCTTTTAAGATAAAAATCGCGGTATGTCGGTGTTAGTTTCGCTTCCGTAAATAAACTTCTCCCTTCTTAAGATTTTCTGTTAACTTATTTGTTTTCGCCCCTTTGATTTCCTGTTTGTCTATCTTGTTCTGCCTGTTTTAATTCTATTTTATATGCAGAAAAGTGGAACTAAATATCGGACGCCAATCGATTCGCATGCCGAATTAGCAGCTGAGCGAATCCCTTTTCCGAGTTCCATTGCGAAGTTGACCAACCGGAAAGCAACATTCATCCACACTTAACTTTCATCGGAGACCAAAACAATATTTGGTCCCCCCTCCGATCGTTAGAAATAGTATTTTCGTGTAGTTAAGGCCCGAAAGATCGGGCTGCCTCTCTCTCTCTCTCTCTCCCCGAAATGGATTTTGTATCAATAGTTAAAGAATCTCTCGTTCGTTAACGTAGATAGATCATCGTTAATTGCGCCAGACCCGGTTGTAATCAGCGGGCCCGAGTCGCTTTGTGATTGATCATAGGCCCTAAACACTCCGTCAGAGCTTATCTAATTCTATACCTATAAGCTATCGATTATAGTAGTTAGCTTTGATTAATTTTGGTTAAATCCGAACTAACGGGAGTGGAACAGATTTGATCTACCAATTCGGTAAAGGTATATCACCCCCCTTACTCGCATAAAACACAGCTCATAAAGCACTTTTAATATCGGTTATTATAGGCCGCTTTTAATGTAAGTTATTATAAGGTTTAGACGTAATTACATTCTCTCTATCGGTATAAATTTAAGAGATTGTTTATTTTTCTTCTTCCCACCTGTGCCTGGACCTGTTGTACGACACGACGCGACTACACGTCCAAGTAAATAGCCACTAATCATTACTTAGAGGCTCTGACACGACCCGACTAAACGCGATGTCATTTCTCTTTCTCATTGCACCCTTACAATCTTTATTCCTTCATTTGTCATCTTCATTACTAAAATTCACGTTTCTATTGGGAAAACGGCTTTCGACTGACGTAGAGTTATTGCAACTAATAGCCAAAGTGTACGCTAAATGCTCTTTTAAAACCAAATTCACACGCTTGGCTTTTTGCTCCGTCGCCAAACTACTAGCCTTTTTATCGTTTTATTCTATTAAAAAATCAAGATTTTAACGTAAAATTTTATATTTAAATGCCTAATATTAAATATTAAACGTAAATAAACCACAGTACGAATCATCCTTACTTTTTTCTCTCTTTCTACAACTCTAAGAGTTATACAGTAAACGAAGAAGGCTTTGGGGGTATTAGCTTTGATTTTATAATTATCGCAATTTCTGTTAAGAAAATAAATTCAGAGATAAGTTATCTATTCTTATAAATCAAAATAAGACAGTAAACTTCCGAGAAAATTCGAACAAAATGTTAAAATATTCTCCTCGTAGCGCTAGAAAACGTTAAGATCTTCTCTAGTCCGTCTATTGTAAGGAATAAGCGGTGGAATTTTAATGTTTAAATTCGACGATTTCGACATTGAAGAAGCAAAATGAGCTTAATATATATATAAAATCTGTAATGTAAAAAGATGGAGAGAGTTATATTTGGAAGAGATTCGTAAGAAATCTGAAACTCAATAAAAGTCAAAGATTTTCCAATCGAAGAAGAAGTTCCCTTTCCAGACTTTATAAAAATATATATATATATAAAAAAAATGGGAGAAAAAGTCGTCAGCATTCATATTACTGCGAAACTCGATACACTCTGTAGACAAGACGAATAAATGCCTTGTTTGTTGTTGCAGAACTTTAAGGATTTTTCGGAATCGAGTTGACGCTTTCGAAATAAACTGAAATAACCGTTTTAGCATAAAACATTATGCATTTTTTTCCACGTTTATACAAGAGTTTTTTTCGTCTTTCAGTCGAATTTGTACAAACGTAATTTAGAAACAGGATATTCTTTTAGCATAAACTACTTGTTTATCTCATCGAAAGTCTCTTCCGATGCTAATATTTAGAATTTTCCAACTTGGTCGATTAGACGAGCGTACGGGCTTCGTTGCTAACACCAATCAATAGGCAATTTGGGATTAATATGCCAACACTTGTTTAGAGGATAGTGTTTCTAATGGTGGATCTTATGGAACTTTAATGTCCGCACGTAAGGCTGCCCAATGAGATGATAGACTAACTTGCTTAATAACTCCGCCATGTTAATAATTTGCTTTATGATTCCCTATCCTTAGTTTTGTTCTAAAATTTTAAATGTCGTCTCCGTAAAAGTTTTTTCTTTTTTCTCTATCAAAATTTTAAAAAACTATTCGCTTTTACTATACGAAAATGTCTATAATTGAGTTAATAAATTCTTACGTCCGTTTATAAGTAAAATTAACGGAATTTAAACATTCTTTTTCCTTCATAATACATCGGAAATTATTTCAGATTATGGCAAAATAGAAATTTTACGTGTCAAAAATTGTCTATAGGATCTAGGCTAATGCTAGTGTATTAAAGTATTTTCCAATGGCAGGCTTCATTAACTATGATAAGTTCTATCAAATATAATTCAGTTAATATATAAAGGCTAAAAAAAAAAAAAAAAAAAAGATACGTCCATAACGAACTTTCTTGCATAAAATTATAACAGTTAAAACCATTACAAGTCGACCTCCCCTATAATACTGTTGATTATTCCGTTTTATATGAATTCCATGTTGTACGAGTCACTTACATTTTACAAATACGTGTACCGGGCTGTGAACGACTCACGTATTTGTAAATTCTAAGTGACTCGTACAACATGGAATTCATATAAAACGGAATAATCAACAGTATTATAGGGGGGTCGACTTGTATTCTTTACTAAATCAGCTATATCAGGGGGTGTGTGTGTAAAGGTCACAATTACGTGTTAAAGACGTATCTTTTTTCCCTTGTTCCTCATAAAAGATTTTAAAATTTCACCCGAAAAAATTTACTTTAAAAAATAATCTCCGATTTTAAAAGATTCGTTTTAAATAGGTTTTTTTTTAAATATATCCCGAGGGCTAAAGTCTAACGCATTTAAAAATTCATTGGGGTTCTTCAGGCCTGCTTTTACCTATCTAACATATTCACCAACGAAACGAAAATAATAAAAAAAAAAATAAAGTTCCTAAGGCTAATAACAAAAACGCATTACCGTAATTATGAACTACACCTAATTTTATAAGTTAGGCTATACATGTGTATATATATATATATAGAGAGAGAGAGTTAGTAAGGGTAGTATAAAATAGCCTATTAAGGTATATAAATAAACCGATACTAAGTTATAATTTAAATTTAGAAGTGGAGAAGAATTACTTAGTTTCAAATTATGGTGGAGGAGACTTTACAAGTGGATAAACTTTGAACTCATCGATTAGACTTTAATTAGACTAACCTTGGCGTCCAATTGATCTTGCCACCTTCTACATAAATTTTAATATAAATGCGCTATTTTAAAAATGGAATTAGTTTCATAAACGGACGTCTGCCATAAATATGACGATTATTCCTTTGTTGCCAGATTAAACAGCCATTGAATGGAGGGGGGAAAAAAGATGTTAGCTTGTTAACATGGCGTTTAATGGTCTGATCGGTGCCGTCTATCGAGGGGAAGAGAGAAACCGCACACGTCGAACGAAACCGAGTTTATTTATTAAAATTCGGAAGTTTTTAAAAGAGTTTATAAGTGTGTATGGAAGGTATTAACGTGTGTTTCTTGTTTCAGGCATCGGAACTTCTCCAGTGATCGACTACACATCGCATTCAATCCGCTTGAACTCCGGGTGAGTACAGTCGCCAATTTGTCAAGCAATTATCTCTCTCTCGGCTGTTAGAGGGTCAGGTCAGTGGGCGGTTTCTTTCCGTATCGAAGGGATTTACACGTCGATCATAAGATTTCCACTCTTTTATATCGATTGTGTAAAGAGGAGCGGCCGTATTATTCTAGTTAAACACGGGCCGGTATCCATTACTGTACCGCTCCGCTTGGTACACATTACCTGTAAATATGTACACAGGGCTGTGGTAATGGAAATGTTAAGTAAGTGAACGAAGTTTGTTTCGTCTGGTTTCGGACCAAAGGGCAATAAACGTAACCCCGAATGGGCTTTAGCACCTACTCGCTACCCCAATTAGAACGAGTCTCGGTTAAGCGTCCGGTAATGGGTTCGAGCGAAGATGAAATATCTGTAGGTAAAGTCCGAAGAACAATTACCAGTCGCCCAATTTGCCAGGAGAAGGAGGTGTGGTAGCACAGCGACTAATGACAAGTTGAAGACTGTGCCGGCTACGACTGACTACCCCTACCTAGAAGTCCAGTTGATTAACAAAAAGGCACTTAGTTAAATTACATCGGGCCAGAAGATCGCCTTGGTAGCGTTGTAATTTGCCGACTTTTTGCCGCCATCTCTGATAAATTGCGACTCATGTGTCGATCAATTATTTAAACGGGTTTAGGTGGCGCTCCTGATATATCTGGTTGTGTCGGACGGCTAGGAGAAGGGTTCGAGATCCGATCGCGTGTCTCTCTCTTGTTTGATTAGTTACGCCGCGAGGATGTTCGTGAGGAAACACCAATCACGGATTTTAATACAAGAAAAAGGCCAATGTCACCTAACGGTTCCGCCGGCCTTAAGACGAACCCAGGTGGATGCTGACACCTGCCCCCTTCGATTCGACTAACGTTTCTTTAAGAGGTCAACCTCCGCAACCATCTGCTTCCACTGCATTCGGTTTTGTTATCGATTACTTACACGGCTCTTTCTATTTTTTTTTTAATTACCAAAAAACCGCACAGCCACCCTTATTCCCTTAATTCTTTACTGCCAAAATCGCCACATTTTTAGAGACGATTTACTTTCATGTGCTCAACAGTTAGAAAATTATGGATATTAAACGGCTAACGGAGCCAAGGCAGGTGTGATATAGACTCGTTTCCTATGGCCAAAGGAAACAAATTATCTAACCCAGATGAACTGTCAAGATACAGACGTTAATATCCACTTTGCAAGGATAATCAAAGCGGTTTTTTAAAACCTATAAACCACTACACTATTATACAAATATTTGCTTTAAAAACGTCATATCCGAACCGAACTTTTATTAATTTAGTAAAAAACCTAAGGCCAGATTTTATTTTAATATATATCGGTGTAAAACGGAGTTATCTTCTTATCTATCAAACAAAATAAAAAAGTAAAAAATGTATTTCCTTCGCTTATAAGATAAGATTCAACCTATAAGCATGAAACATGACGATAAGAATCTAGAATTTCAAAGCTGATATGTACTATCTGTGTAAAACAAAACATCAGTCGATGTTTCGTTTGTGGAATATACGCACACACGGACTTGGCCATGCCATAAGCGCCCTTTTATACGCCGTGACGTCATTTCCGGACAGGTAGGGGGGGTTTTGTGTGTATTTTAAGTCGAATCGAAGTATTTTCTTTTTTTAAATATATTTGATAAGTAACTGGAGTCATGTGGCAGAGTAATAAAAATAGTAGAAAGATAATGATCGGATAATGTGCTTATTATGATTTTTTGGATTAATTTTTAAGCGGTCGGGCTGGAAGTTTTTTCGAATTTTGCCGAGGGGAGAAAGAGAGAGAGAGAATGCCATTAGCCCAACGACCGGTAGCTATCCCGACTAGATCAAGATTGAACAAGTGTCTTCCTGACCCAATCAGGATATGATGAAAGGAAGATGGCTGAGAAAAGGGAAGTCGGACGCAGCTGAAACGAGCAGACAAATAACAGTGACCTTTCTGACCTTTTTTAGATCTTGAGTGACAATTACCGAGGCTTCCTGAATGGGATGTGACGCACCTTCATCCCTTTTTTTTTGTTTTCCTCCCGCCTGCTGTATCCCCCGTTCGATTGAAGAGCAAACAAACGTAGAGAATCGAAGGATCTCGAAGACATCCGCAGTCTACATCATCCTATCCGCACGCTAATTAGTTTCTGAATACTTAATATCGTTGTCATTGATCTTAATATTCTTTAGCTTTGCAGTCTAATCCCCTTTTGTCTGTCGATTCTAATGTCTTTCGTTTTTCGCTTCACATTAACGCAAGACCACGAACTGCGGCTGGCCGCATAATCGCCTTATGGTATCATCTTTTCATTAAGGATGATTATAGGTTTCTCCTCCAATAGTTTACCTGTCCGTCAAGGTAAGGAGAGCCAGCCAATCAACTGCACCTGACATTTACGGTCGACGCATAAAAATTCCTTTTTCATCCTTTGGCACGACATCGGTTTCTTTTGGGCGGATTAACGAATTTTCAAACCATGCGGATGTCATTTCGATTCATTTAAAATGATCAGCTTTTGTCTCGCGTGCAAGTGCCACTTGTAGAATGCTTTTTCCCCCTTCTTTCCGTGTCGCTTTTGCGTTTGATTTGTTATAATTCGACAACATATGCGACCTCCTTTAGTCCTATTTATCATCCGTTCCCGTTACTGCTACAGTGAGGCGACGCCATTTTCATGCCTTCCTTTGGGTTCGCATTCGAAACTTATTTTTCCGAAAATTTAAATATTTAATTAGGTAACAAAATGGGCGTAGACATTTGCCCATTGGGAAAGGTATAATTTTAGAAGAGATTGTCTTGTAAAGGTTAAACGGAATCGGATAATCCGGATAAAGCCACAAACGGGAAGGAAAGGCAGTGGTATTTCCGCTGTTACCACAGAATCTTCTTCCAGAAATCAACTATTGTTTCCCGAGAAACAGAGAAAGAGACGTGGCGTGACGTAAGGAGGAATAAAAACGGAGTACCCAGCCAGTCACCCAAAAGCCGTTAGAATCACACTGCAAGCAGATGGTCGGAGTGGCAACACGTGTCGAGAACACCCCCTCTATCTGTCTCTTTCGGCCATATGTTGATTGCGCACTTAATTGCATTCTATCCCGAAAAGTTTTTTCCCCATTGGATACATAAACACGCCAACCGTAATCGGCCTGCCGTGCAGGGGGCGAGACCATAGTGACCCGTTAAGACGTCGGCAACTGGCAGCGAGGAAAGGAACCGTTATAGGCCCCATTGTTGTCGGCCGGCACGTGCCTGCTGTCTCAAGTCATTAAGGGAGTCAGTGGCTCGTGGCCTACCACCTCCCCGGCGACCACCTGGCCCTGCGGGTACAAGGCCCCCGAGCCAGACGGATGGCGTGTCTCAAGACCTCATCCATTATCTTCGGACGCTTCTACTAATTAAATATGCATTTCGGACGCGTGTCCGGAAGACAGAAAAAGTAACACCAGGTATACCGATGACGTCAGCTATCAGGCGAGTGATTGTTTGCAAACACGGAACACACACTTATCGTTTCGAAGTTGTCGGTGACTCAGTTCCTTTCGTCGGACTCTCGCTATCGAGACGAACGCAATCGCAGCCAACAGATAAAACAGTTGACATATTTGTTAGCGGAGGAGTGCGTCATACAAAAGAACACGCTTATGATCGAAACCGGACGCAAATAACTCAGGTGAGTATGCGATTAAGTTGAATTACGTTGGCCTAGCCCTCCACAATAACGTCTTGAGAATCGGTTGAATTAAACAGGAAACTCTCCTAGAGCAGCTGGTCTCCTTCGCCTCAGGACAGATCGAGCTTCCTGTCTTTTCATTCGCCTCGGTGGCTCGTCCAACTTAGCTTAGTCCGACTCGATCTTCCAAGACAAACGGATACACTTATTATATCTATCGGCTAGACGAGGTAAGACAGCTAAATTTTTCGCTCTATCCATGTTTAGTACGCCCCGGCTGCGTCACCGGTCAGGAAGACATCTCGCTGGTGTGAATGAAACGGGAAACACATTTCAGTAGTAAACTATAATACCGAACGTCCGCTTCACCTCCATCGTCCGTGTCACCCACACAAGACCCTCGGTCCATACCCAGCCGGGTGTCTCTAGCAAGGGATAAGTTTCCTGTCGGAACAACCCTATAGTAATCTGTTCTGCTTGCATTGCTTCCATCCCTGGGAAAAGGGCAGCCACGGTCTTAAGTGCGTGCGAAACAAACACTCGTTTCCCTAAATTCTCCTTTCGCCAGTCTTTTCTTTCCATTCTCCTTCTTTACTTAATACGAGTCCTCTACTAAAATGTTAAATGAATACGTCCGTCATTGTTATATAAGAAATTCTTAGTATAATTGTTGTAATTCCTTCGGAGTAGAAACTAAAATAGAAATAAGCTTTGCTCAACCGTTTGCAATACTTTTGTAGATTTTTACACACTAATCGTTTCCGTAAACTGTTTTGTTTAAATAGCGACGGAACGTTAGCTTAAGCACGTTTATAAGTATACAAGTTTTATTTTAAATTACAGTTAGAATAAAGCTGTGTCTTCTGTATAAAATGAAAGGCAAAACTATCAATTACAAAGGCAAATAAATAGGCCAATCAAATCGGATCTTGCAGAGGAATTTGATTCCTTTTTTTATTTAAACACTTTAAAGGCCTTCCGATATTGGCGCAGTTTTAATAAATTAGTTAATGGTTAATCTAATCGATTTTGGCAATGAGATTAAAGAACGATGCCGGAATTTTAGTTAAATTTGAGCGAAAGTTTTGACATAATTATTTTGTCGAATTTAAGTTGGGAGAATTTTCGATATTGTTGAATTAAATTGTTACTTAGTTTCCTTAACTCAATATATATTTGCAGCCCTTAGGAGAAACGTCGAGGCCTTAAATATTCTTATCCGGGGCTGCATTTTTACTTGCGGCTTATATATATTGGATAAACGTTTTGATTATCGGCAATTATCGCTGATAATAGATAGAAGTTTGCTATACAATTATAAAAGATAGACTTGTTCGTTGCTGTTTTTTGTTTGCTTATCTTATCTGTGCGATTTTATTTCGAACAATTCTTTTTCCAAGACGTTATTGTTAACTGTTTCGTATTATTTTTTTTATTGTTTGGTGTTTGTTTCAGGTAAGAGAACGAGATGAGTGAAGAGCTGAGGAGTAGGTGAAAAAGAGAAAGTTAGTGGACAACGTAGCCCCCATTTCCTCAGCCGTCCAATCAGCGAACTTCTTATGATGTCATCGGAAGAGGATTCGGAAATGGAAGCCCTAAAAAACAAGACGAAGCGAGTGCGTCAGAGAGTTGACGCCGGAGAACCTCGCAATAGTTACGCCAGCATACCGAATTTCAGTTCGCGACCCATGGCCACAGTCCCCTATCATAATGGCTTTAGTATGCTGGCAGGGGGAAAAATTCTCGGTGATCTTATAAGCAGACATCAGAAAGGAGACATGATGCTAGACGATCTAAGGATTAACGGTTCGCTGATGGCGTCGATGGATATGGCGGATTCTTCGTTTCTCAATGGGACGGTGGATCAGGAGATGACAGCTAATTCTCCTCACCAGCAGCCTCCCGGTTCTCCCCTGCCCGAAAACAGTCATTTGTTGCGTGACATACTGCAGGGCCGGAAAGTGTCCGACGAACAGGGTCCTTGTGTCATGCTTCTGCAAGGGAACCAGCCAACTTCCGTTAGTCATGCTCCGGAGACGTCGGGGGTCGACACTACCGGAAGTCACGTGACTCCGAGACCGAGGCGAGTCGGCGAAGAGGACGACAACGTCAAAGTTAGCAGGATGTCCGACCAGGAACAGGAGACAACCCCCGTATCCAGTCCGAGTCCGTGTCAGAGTCCCAACCCGCTCCGTCCCTTAAGTAACAGTAACACCTTGGAAGAGAAACGTGCCAGGGTCGAAACCATCGTGTCCAACATGCTTCAGGGTCCTCCGGCAACCATCCGCTCTCCGGGACAGGGGCAGAGCGGGCCCGAACCACCGACTCCAGTCAACGGGTGTAAGAAGAGGAAACTCTATCAGCCTCAACAACACGAAGCCAGTAGGATAACAAATGGATTGCAGGACGATGACGACGAGGAGGACGACGAGGAAGAACTTTCGCCACCCAAACAACGTCGTCTCGAACGTGAAACGCTCAAGCTGCAATTACGCCAAATGCAAGAACAATTGGCAGCCATGCAACAACGTTACTTAGAACTATTCGAATTCGAAACATCGGTGAGTCCAATGAGGGATAACCCGTCGCCTCGAAGCGAAGACGGCATTCCGATGAATGCCACCGACGTCAAAGCCGAAATGTCCGAAGACAAACACGAAGAATCTGTCAACTGTCGTCAATCCTGCATCGTTCAGCCTCCCACCCGCCTTAGCCCAGGTCAGTCGGACGTCGACTGGTTAAGTGAGTCTCTTAAGTCAGAAATCACGTCGTCTCTGTCTCAAGTAATTGATGCCGTCATATCACGATACGTTCAACGTCGTCCCGTGGTTCGACCGGCCACATCGAGCACGGGAACTAATTCGGACAGTGATCAGCCCAAAGACAGCAATCTCTTGTCTCAAATGCTGGACAGAAAATCGCCTCGGTCCAAAGTTATCGACCGGGGTTGTAGGGTGAACGGGCACAGTCAGAGATCGAGCCCTTTTCCCGACTCGTTACCGAAACCGACGTTCTTCTATCCACCCGGTCTCAAGCCTCCTATGTCCACCTTCTTCTGTAACGCCGCTCAACAGTTACCTTCTGTAAGTTTACCCTTTCCACCTCCGGGATTGAATACTAGTGGGATACCCGTGGAAGTTCCCGAACAGACAGAAGCTATGGCTCTGGTGGTGACGCCAAAGAAGAAACGCCACAAAGTGACGGACACTCGCATCACCCCCAGGACAGTAAGTCGCGTTTTAGGGCAAGACGTCGATCCTCTATGCAACAAGTACACCATGTTGGCAGCTGGATGTCCGTCGGATCCCGGCCCCGCACCCACCTACACCCATCATCCGCCACCTCCGCCTTTGGTGCCAGTTTCTCTGCCCACTTCGGTAGCGATTCCTAACCCGAGTTTGCATCAATCGGACGTGTTCACCACTTTTCACTACGATCATCAACGACTGGGACAGTATAACTCTATACCCGACAACCACGACGAAGACGCTCTTCACTCGTCCATCATGTCTCATGCAAGGGGTTCCCCCGATTCGCTTCATTACGGACATCTGAAACTAGAAAACGGAGACAGTTCGGAGGCGGGGGATAGTCCCGCCTACGAATCGGGACTGGCTATGATATCCTTTGCTCTATACACAATCTAATAGCTTTAGATTTATCTTAATGCGGTATTGGGTGATGTACAACCCGGTTTATGCAGTTAACAAGATTGCTCTTACCAACAGAAACCTGACAAAAGACGGACGTGGGAAGACCTAATAACGTATAGTTTTTTTTATTATTTTTTTGCGGTCTTCCGCCTCGTCGATTCCCACCCTTGTCACAAAAATAAGCCCGATCTCGGAACAGTTGGAAACGTTTGCAATCGATAGAAAAAAGTAAATTTCAGTATGTTTTTGGTAAGAGCAATTTTCTGCAATGACTTATTATTGTTATTGTCCTTAACGGGTTTTTTACACCAGCACCTTGACGCCCATGCACTTGAGGAAGGCGAAGCTGATGTTCTTCTACGTCCGATATCCCAGTTCGGCCGTCCTGAAGATGTACTTTCCCGACATCAAGTTCAACAAGAACAACACGGCCCAGTTGGTCAAATGGTTCTCGAATTTTCGGTAAGTAGGTGCGTGAGAGGCCGCGGCGGAAGCGGGTCTATAGATATACCCTGGGCGTCCACCTCCGCCCAATATCTGCCGGATGACTTTTCTGTAGCAATTCGGCGAGGCGTGTCCGCGGGAAGCTGTCCCATTCAGCCCAGCGACCATTACAGTGCAGCTGTCAGGATGTCGGATGTTCTGCGCTGCCATGCTCTGCTAGCAACGGTTGCCAGCTTGCTTACATTGCTCCAGAAACGCATTGCGCACGCTCCCTAACTTGCCAACTAGGTGGGAGTTGCCTACCACCACACATCTCATTAGGGACAGGACAAAGGGAGATCGCTAATGAGCTACAGATAACAAATATATACACAGAAGGGATTCCTAGTGGTCACTGCCCCGCAATGCGACCGGGTCGACACACAAGTCGACATCTCAGGGGCCGAGAAGACCGGGGAAAACACCTTGGAAATGCAAATCGATGTTGGCGGTGGCTACGAGTCCGTTAAGTATTGTAGCACCCATCACCTTTTCCGGACAAATACCATCCGAAAGTTATCTCTTGTTGGCAGACCGACAGATACGGGGATGCGTTTGCTATATTGATTGAGCGCCAAATGAGACGGGAAATGGTTTCAAGAAGTTTTTGCCTTTTCTAATCGCGTGCTTTTCATTAGTTCCTTGATTATGAAGGAAGGAGGCGTCGGGATGATATAGCCCAGCGTTACTGCTATCTCCAGTTGTTTATGTCCTCCATTATCTTTCCTTTCTTCTTTACGCAAAAATGCAGACATTGATAAGGACTGCGGAAAAGTTGGGGACGACTGGTCTCCGAGGAAAAACTTTTCCTTTTTCTTTATTGAGATTTGATTAATTAGTACCTACATTAGCGGGGGGAAAGAGAGGGGACTTGGACGTACTGTTATCCGTTTTAATTCCATAAATTACACTGGTATTTATTTATTACACGGATTGAAATTAGGTAATTATTGCAATGATAAAACCAAGCCAACTATTATAGGAGGAGGTAGAAGGGTTTTTGAAAAATTCGCCAGAAATGGGAGGAACATAGACCGCTGATTTCGCTTAGATATTGTTAATTACAGCTTTATGTTAATTAACTTGGCACCATTTGCTGTGCTCCATTATCGAATTACATGGCGGTCTCCTCGGCGATGCTATGTCCACGCCAGGCCTCTGGCTGATAGCGACCGGCTTCTCTCTTCTGATGACCGCTGGGAGGGGGTCGAGCCCGCTGACGTCATAAACGCACCAACATAACAGCAAGAAGCACGTCGCGCAAGTGGGCCCGTCCGAATTCGGACTCGAATAGCAAAATTGCGCAGAGGTGAGGGATGTTTACCGGTCGCATTCGGTAACGAGCAAATATATCAGCCGAGTGTCGTATAGATACTAATCTTGCTACACTTTATAGCTGTATTGGATCTAACGGTAAATCGATTTTAGTGACAAGTCCGCAGAGAGTTATAATTAGTTTGTTAATAACGAGCGCAGTCCGAGTAGTCTTAGTGGCAGGCGCCGCGGCTCTAACATTCGAACCACCAGGCGCATTTTTTCCTAACTTCACCCACCTCGCAGTGTATTTTGCAGCACCAGTCGCCACACCTGCTTAGCATAAATTAATTTGGCCACAATTTACGCCCGGCTCCCGCGTTCGACCATTGTGAAACGGTGTCGAGCTGAGCTCGGAGGATTATCTTGGAGAACAGAGTCTGCCGGCTCGACGTAAATGGCCCCATTTAAAACGACAAATGGTCAAGCGGACGGGACGACCAAGACTTGTCCGGCTGGCAATCAAACCTTTCCTCCCTCTCGCAGATTTTAACAACGATTCGGAAAGGGGTAGCCTACGCCCACCTTGGCTAATTTGACTTAAATATCTTGTTGTCATATGAGAAATGGGGTAAATAATGGCCTGTGTAATTGCAGTTATCAGGTATGAGCAACTGCCGACCATTTCAGGCAAGACTTACTCCTACAGGGCAGCAAACGACGAAGTAAGAGGCTTGTGTTTCTGCTAGCGGGGTTTATAGCCTCCCTAGGGAAAGAATGCAGCCAGGCATGTTGGGCATCGCTACCACTCCGTACTGCGGGCGAGATATTGCATCTCATAACTTACTGTTGCCGCAGTAAATAACAGCGAGTGACTTAGCCGCAGTTGTAGTGGATAAGATTACGTGGATACTCCAACTTATGACACGCTAGTAATTAAGTAGAGGAACAGCTCGAGAAATTTTTATTCCGGATTCTCCCATTTAACCCAACGCGACTGAGGTGTGTCGGCGACACGGACCGAATCTCGTTTCTCCAGAATTATTATTATTCAGATCGCCTGCTCGCCTTTCTAAGCTACTTTGGTTTGACTTGTTCTGTCCGGTCCATTTGGAGAATTAAACATCGCACTATATAATTCAACGCATTACGGTCGTTATAGAAGGATACTTGTGGAATAATCCTTCGGTACGAGCGTTCTTCACGCCTTGTACGAACTGAGGAGGGCGGTAAACAAATGCTGACAGTTAGCAGAGAGCTATTAGTTGCGTGTTGAAGCCAATGTTAAATGCACGGGCATGTGTGCCCCGATCCGCACCACATTTATCACTGCATCGGCGGGGGATTCTTCAGCCCCTTCTTACTGACGAGCCCTTCTTTTTCTCTTGCTTTCAGGGAGTTTTACTACATCCAAATGGAGAAATACGCTCGGCAGTCGGTCAGCGAAGGAGTCAAAAACAATGATGATCTGAAAGTAACGCCCGATTCCGAACTTCTCAGAGTTCTAAATCTTCACTACAACCGCAACAATCATATCGAGGTGAGCGCATTTTTTCCCTTTCTTCCCCTCAATCTCGGAAATTGAATCGATTTAACCGAGTTTACTCGCTTAGTTTAATTTTCCGGCATTTTGATTTTATTCTCACGAGTTAATGTCATGTAAACGCGAATTAAAAGTGAGTGAACTTTCGAATGCATTTCCAATTATTCTATAGGAATTTTTTCTTTCTGTTTTCAGGTACCAGAACATTTTCGCCACGTCGTCGAACAAACCTTGAAGGAGTTCTTCAAGGCGATCACAGCAGGGAAAGATCAGGAGCAGTCGTGGAAGAAGTCGATCTATAAAGTCATAGCAAGAATGGATAATTCGGTTCCAGATTATTTCAAATCGCCGAATTTCTTAGAACAACTCGAATGAGGACAAGACAATGTGAATCCTTCTTAAACCAAGACTTGTGCCTTCAGTCAGTCTGTTTTTCTTTGTGTACGGTGGTTGTGGCCAGGCTAACCTTACAACCAAAAAGTGTGTTTTAGCTTTAAGAGGAAATGACAAATTTAAAAAAAAAAACAAAGCAAAAATTATATATCATTCATCGGTGATTCTTACAGGATAAACACAACTGGTTTGTCCCGGGTGAGTGCCCTAGTCATAAATGATGTAAACCTACTGTTATGTGTGTATTTATTTTGTGCACGACGAAAGTGCTAAGCACTGCTTTGTTCACTGGGACAGGAAGAAGAAAAGCGACAAAAAATATTAAGCAAAATGGCATGAACTATGCACTCTTCATGTCTCTGAAGTCAAGGGATGATATTTTTCTTATCCGCAAGACAAAAAACAAGTGCGAAAGCACCGATTCTTCTCCGTACAAAAAAATGATACATGTTGATAGAATATTATTTTGAGTATAACTGAAACCAAAAAGACAAAAAAATGCCCGAAAAGGTGAGAGATAATCAAACGTGCTACTCCGACACCCACACTCAACCCTCGCCCCATCAATCTCGTTTGTTCCCTTAGGGTGTCGGATAGGCAGGAGGCCATTTGCTAGTCACTGCCCGCTCCTCTTCACCCGTCGATGTGCGCCTAGTCAACCCTTAATTTCTATCACATATCTGGTCCCATGGGTTCTCACGTGGGACGTGCAGCTAGTACGAATGTAGTCGTTCTGCTAGGGACCATCCTCCGATGATCTATGACACTCTTTCTATTTCTCCCTATCCAGGTGTCGAAAACAATCATTTAGTCTTTCGCATGTGATACTTCATATCACCACTTATGTGATATCGCAGAAAAATGGAGGGTTTTGTTACTTTATTAGGTTCTGTCTAGCGTGGTTTTGCAGAATGTGCAACATATCCGCAAACAAGTTGGCACGCCTTTTTCTCTTGCACGTTGCCTTTATTGTGTGCCTGCACTATGGTAGTGATTAATGACGAGCGTTCTTCACTTCCTCTGGTATTTTTTCTGTTTTTCGTTTCATCAGCCTTAGCGACGCGTCTTTCTCGTGGGCAGAGAGATGGACGAATACGTCAATACAAAAACAGGCAGCCCATAAAATGGGTTTCTTCCTCCTACTGTGATTGGACTGTGCAGTTCTCTTAGTCTGCTCGCTCATTTCCCATCAACTTAACCTCATTGACGACATCCTGAATTCACTTTTCTCTGTCTGTCGTTTTGGCTCAAATACTTCCCTCGAACGAACTTCGTCTCTTAATCAATTGGCGAATCCAGACTTGGGAAGGGAAAGCTTTCGTCATTTCTCGTCTTCCAAATGAACGCTGATTATGAACAAAATAAAGATAGAAAAAACCAGTGACGGCCATTTTTACAGTTCGTGTGTGTGTACATTCCTAGCAACATTCCACATTTTTTGCAAATTCAAAAAAAAAAAAAGTACATTCCTTCTCACCCATTTTTAAAATCCAGCCTCTTTAGAAGTGGGACTGCTAAACGGGAGTGTTAAGCTCTGGTAGGCCAAGAAAGCATCAATCAGTTCTACCAGCTCTGCACAGCTCAAGTGCCTTGCCCATCAGTCCACCGATTTTCATTCATACACTGCAACCATTCGACTGTGATATTTGGCTTGTAGCGACGGGCATAACAACATTAAAAAAAAATAATAATAATAAGCAGCGAAATGTGCCTGCAGCAGAGAAATGCGGAGAGTATACTCACCTCCCGGAGCGGTTCCTCTTCTTATTTTATTCCATTCTTCCTGTCCTGTCGTCTAAATTCGGAGATGCAAATCTGTGATCCGTTCTTTGCCTCTCCCCGACTATTCGTCTCTCTCAAAGTTCTTGTTGGTCGAAGAGAAAAAGTTTAAAAATAAACAAAGAAAGAAGACGAAGAAGAAAGTCATTCCAAGAAAAAAAAAAAAAAAAAAAGACTATTTATATGTGTATTGAACCGGAATATAATTTATTGAAATTTTTTTATTTAATATGCACCTCACCATTTACTGGTTAATATATATGTATATGGTATGTCCACCTGCTGTATGTAAACTGCACACATCATCATTGGCCAAATAGAATGCTGTACAATCACCCTAGCTAGTTAAGATATCATTAATAGAAATTAGAAACAATGTACATTGCCTCTCTTTTCTATTGTGCATGAATATTATCTTCTATCCCTTTGAGAGTATCATACTCAAACCCCCATAGTATTCTTTACGGGAATACTTGAAAGAAAAAAAAGAAAAAAAAGAAAAAAAAGTCATTTAAAACTCGAAAAACGATATTTATTACTTAAAAGATCTCCCCCCCAAAATGTTTGGCAAAATTTGCATATTTTATGGAAGTATTTACTGCTATTTATTGGCAATCATTATGAAGTCAGCAACTGTTATGTAGTCCATACTGTGCATGTCTTAAACCTTGGTTCAAATAAAAACTCATTTGCAACAAAACGAAATTTGTGTCGAGATTTTTCATTAGTTAATTTTTCTTTTTCTTTTTTTTTTTTTTTTAAATTCTATTTTTATCAACGTAGATATTAAAAATCGTGTTACGAATTTCTCACAGTTCCAGTTATATAAACCGTGGCTTACGGTACTTGTTTTCGTGTCACCACCACTCGCAACCGCAAAAACACCAATACGAAGATTTTTGACATTGAGAACACGTTCTTCGCTTCCACACCCTTGACGTCAAAACGGTAAACTCGGGGTTTTAATTGCTAAAAAATATTAATTCAGAATCTACGTGAGGAAATGGAGCTGATGCAATTTCTCATTTGACGATCCAATTGAAAAAGATTTTTTCTCCCGCCAACAGGAAATACCCCGAGGGAAAAGAATCCAAGGACGACAATCTTTTGTTTGTTTGTCGCATTCGTAACGATTTAGTTACTCCGTTCGATAACGTTTAATGCAAAGAATAATATAATATAATAAATAAATAAATAAATAATAATAATAATAATAAAAACGTTGGCCAAAGAGCGAATCGATAAAACAAACCCAAAGATAGCTATTACTAAAACTTAGATTGATGAGTCAGATTTAAGCATAAAATTATCTTAAATCCATTGTTAATTATTTAGTTATCGCTTTTGCAGTTAATTATTTATTCATTTTTTCATTAAATTGATTAACTTAACCTCGTAATACTTTAAAAAAAAAACTAAAAATCTTGCTACCAATCATTAGAAAGTAGCCATTTTTCCCCCCCTCTATTTAACATAATAAAACGCTTGGTTTCTCCCTTAATCCGGGATCGCACGAGTATCATTTATAAGAATAAATATTAAAAAAAAAAAAAGATAATAATAATAATAACTCGAATTATATTTAAATTTCAAAATGTCCAACGAGCGGGTAGACCTACTTTATATCAATTAGAAATACAGTATTTCAGACGGATATCCTGATGACGATCTTGTATCACGTATAAACGAAACGGGCACAGTTTATAATCCTAAAAAAAAGAAAAAAAAACCCAATTTTTATAAGCTTTAAAACGATTTAAACTCACATTTATGTAAGTTTAAAGCGTTTGAAACGTCCGAAAAAGTTATCTTCATTTATTCACGCGATTATAATGGCACGGAAAATCGATTAAATAACTTAAATCGGCGGAACTTTAATGTTCAAGAACATTTTTATATATATATATATAAGCTTACGGAATTGTTACTTTTGATCCCGATAAAATAATATCTGTCATTAAAATCTTCAAAATTTCAAGCGAATTATGATCCCTTTTATACATTAAATATAACATGTCAATACGTAATTTTTTTTTTTATAAATAAACACGTCTTTAAACCGGTGAGAACGTTTAAAAAAAAAAGGAATTCAACTGCCAACATAATAATAAAAATAAAAAAACAATGTCATTTGTTAAATAAGTAGAGCAAAATTCTAATCTAGTTACTGGTAAAAATATTGTTAGGATTTTAAAAAGACGGGAAATAATTTATGAGCTAAGTACACGAAAATGAAACAGCTTGAATTCTTTATTCTCCTAACTTCCTGTTATACAAAATACTTAAATACAAAAGTAGATAATCCTTTTTGGAATTCTGTGCCAGTCAAAGAATCTGATCGTCCCTAACCGAATGTGTACGTGTATATATACATCCTTAAACTATGGCAACAGCGGATGTCCCAGCACCACTATAAAAGAATTAATCCATCCGACGGAAAAGCTTGTGACGTGACGTCATTGTACACAATCCTAAAAGAACGGATATTATTGCGAAAAAGAACGATTCTTGTAGTTACGGTCTTACAGTCATCGTACCGTTTCCCAGATTTAAAACATTTTCGAGATCGATTCTCGAAACAACCCATTAAAAGAAAGGAAAAAGTTCATCACAAAACACCCATTTAAAAGGAAAAACAGTGGAAAAAAAGGGGGGGGTTTTTTCTCTTGCCGATTACATCGAAATCGATTCTCGAAGGCAAGCAATATTTAAGCCTTCTAATAAACAATTTAAGGGGAAAGAAAGAGAAACTGTTATATGTTTTTATTAACTAATTAACCACCTAATTTTATATATATATATATATATATATATATTCTATGTAGAAAATACTCAATCCATACAAATGCAAAGGCAGTTAAAACAGTTTTATAAATTCAAATAGATATTAGGGAATTAAATCAATTGTTTTAATTAATTCTTGTGTTAAATAATTTATGAGGGAATATACATTGTTAAGAAATTATTAAGAAATGCTTGGAAATTGTTCGAGTTAACGGTGATAAATTATATACGTTGAGGTCGAACCGTCGAGTCTTTCCGTACGAAAAGAATTATTAGAAAAATGATCAATTTCTGCGTATTAAGAATTGTTACGTCTTTTTTAAAATGTTTTTAACATTTCAAAACTCTATATTATATTTTTACCTTTATGAATTAATAATAATACCATTTTTTTATTAAATACATCTCTAATTCTTGATGGTTTTAANACTCGTACAACATGGAATTCATATAATACTGAATTATCAACAGTGTTATAGAGGGGTATATACATTTTTTCATTGCCTCTTCTTTGTACTATTTGTGATTTAAACTTTGTTGGCGAAATTAATTTTTTAGATGCGAAAGAGGTTAAAAAAAAAACAAGTCAATTCCTCAATTTTTGAACGTAAATAAACGATTTAAATTGATTTCGTATAAGATTTATTCCGTAAACAAGTTATTTTTTTATATCAGAAAAAGTCAATAAAAAAAAAAAAATAAGCAACAAAACCGTTATTTTTCTGTCGCCAGTTTCGATATTAGGGATGGCAAAAGAGTTCCGTTTCTAAGACAAATGATTAAACGAGTTCAAAAAGGTAGTAAAAGAGTTCCGTTTCTATGATTAAACGTTTATGTAACAGTTAAAATATATTCAATTTTTATTATATTATCGGCGGATAAGTTGCTTATTGTAACCAATGGAACGTGGAGGAGGGGTGAGGAAGACAGCTTTAAATTAAACAAAAAATAATTAACTGTATATACATATCATTAAGGGAGAATAAATTAAGGAAATTCGAAGTAAAAATTGATAAGAGGAAGAGGGGGGAAAAAGAGAATTTGAAATAAACAGGAACACGAAAAAGAAGAAATTAATAATCAGAAAAGATTAAGCGATTTCTCCAACGGCAATGAGAAAGAATAAGATTAAGTTCCCCCCTTCTTTTTTTTTTTTTGTTCCTTATTTAATCGATAATACAGTAAGTCCCAAAAGGCCTATTATCGGAAGCAAAGTGCCAGCCAGAAAAGAAATAACGTTCATGATTTATCAATTAGCTCGAGATAAATCTATAAGTTCGGTTTTTTCCCCCTCCCCTTACCTCGAATTTTTAAATCAGGAAGCGCCAACTTTGACTTTTTAATTGTTTTGTAAAGATTTATTAGGAATTTTATACGTATTCTTGTCCTTTTTTTTAATAGGAAAAAAAATGAGGATGGTAGAAAAATTAAACAGAAAAGGTACGTTTTTTTTTTTTTCTGTATTATTGAATATATTTAAATATACGGAAAATTCTTTAAAATCGATAGGACTAAGCCGAAAAAGGGTAAGAAGGAAATAGTCAGAACGCCTGTTTAACTGGAAATGGTGATCATTTGCTCCTTGACATTTCGAATCCGTATCGAAAGGAAAAGATGGCGGTCGTTGGATGATAAACTATTAATACTTAAACAATATATAAATCATAGTTATTTTCTCTTCTATCTTTCTCTTATGTAAAGCTTCTATTTTTAAATTTTGCAACATTATTTCCGACTTTATATCATTATGTAACGCGAGCCTATCTAAAAATAAGCAACAAAATAATAAAAAAAAATTAATGCCAATCAATTTGAAGTTTAAACGAGACACCCCTTTGTTAATTTTACGCGCATAAATCGTCACTTCTAAAAATATAAACATTTTTACTTTTTTTTTCCCCCTCCCCTTTTCCTCTTCTCGCTTATATAAAATGGAACGAACTCATTAAATGAAAGTCACATTTTTGTTTTCGTTTTATATATATATATATATATATATGCCTTATTTCGAGTGTCCACTCAATTTAGCTTCTCGTTTGTAACAGGTTCATTTCGTCGCCGTGATTTGATCGGCTCTCCTCCGACCCTTGGAGCCATATCACGTGACCGATCCTTCTCGAAAACTGCTTAGTAATCCTACACCTTAACGGATCGTNAACGGATTGTGTTTAAAAATATAGCCCAAAATTAGATAATAATAATAATAATAATAATAATAATAATCACAAGCCCCGATTGAAAATCTGTGTTAAGGATACAAAAAAAAAAAGAAAAAAAACTTAAGATGAAGAGCAAAAAATATAAAATTCGTGCCAAAAAAACAAGCTAGTATCTTCTCAGATACGTCAAACAATCTACGATTATCGTTAACTTTAACGTTAAATATTTTATTAATTTATCTTTAAATACGTTTACATCAATTTTATAATGAAATTAAATACGTTTACGAATTAATTAATTTTTTTTTTTTTAAATCGTAAAAACTGTTTTACTGTTGTTTACATTCGAAAAATTCTATACTAAATACACTAAATCTTCGTTTAATTTTAATCAATCAGATCAGAAACATCTATTGTTCTTCATATCTAAACATTTCATGTGACTGAAATATCGCACGTTTATAAAGAAAGAAAAGAAAAAAAAAAAACTTTATCCGTTTTTAAATTATAAATAAGATATTAAGTAATTATTTCTGTATAATTTAAATTTTATATTTTATTAATAATACTTTAATTACATTTTTCAATAGAATGAAATATCCGCTTAGAATTATCGGTATATATATATATATAAATGTCAAATCTCTTCCTTTGTGACGTGATGATGATCGTCACTAAATTAACTCGAAAATTTAAAAAAAAAAAAAGGATTTGAAAGGAAAATTTTGAGTGAATTTTTCTTTTATCACCTTTTTATTAGATCATATTGACAAGATTAGAATATGACAATACCTATTGATGATCGGAGTAAGTTTCATAAGTCATCCTTATGTTAGTTTTTTTTTTTATAATAAACTTCCTTATCAACTTTTATAACAATAGAGAGATAAAACCGTATGACACCAGATTAATAAATAAACATATTTCGAATGACATTATATATATATATATAAAACAAGAGAAAATAATTCTTTAGAAAGAGGATAGATAGAGCGACGTTAATTTTATATGTTTTGATTAACCGATTGATGAATCTACGACTTCTTAAATCTATTAATAAATATTATTAAATGTAATAAAACCGCTTATCTTTAATTACAACTTTATAAAGCGTCAAAACTGATGACTTGCATATTTTATGTCTCGAACGTATGAATAGAAACTGTTTCGGTTATTGCGCTACGTTGCGTATAATGACGCATATAAACTCGACCGCAAAATGACCATGAATAATTTTTAATCACATTAAATTTAACCTTTTTTTTTTTTATTTATTTAAATACGTGATTGGGTTTTTGGTTTTCCTTTTTTTTTTTTATCGGGGGGAGGGAGGTTTTGTGTAATGTTTTCGTAATCGCTTACATCTTGTGTTTATGTTTACATCACATTCGCGATCCTTCTTTATGAGCAATCGCGTTAAAATAATAATAATAAAAAACCCATAACTTGTCTTAGAGAAATTACCTTAAATGGTACGAAACGAAAGCGAAAATTCTTTAATTTTAAATTAATTTGTTAAGATAGGGATAATTTCTTTTAATAAAAGAAATCTTATACGGTAAGGGGGAAGAAAGAAAAGAAAAGAAAAAAACCCCATACTTTATAAGATTTTTAAGCTAAAATGTCTCCTTTATAGTAACGAAAATATGTTCTTTTTTCTACTGTAAAGGGCTTAATTGATGAATACAAAAGTTATATTTCTATTCGCCCCAATCGTTATATTGTAACGAATAATGTTAACAATTTCAATAAGATTACTAGAAAAATACCTAAGAAAAATAATTTTTTTTTTCTGCTGGTAGAAACGATTTAAAATTTAGGTCGTATAATTAGAGATTCGAGTCTGTTTTCTTAATTGTATTTTAAAATTTAATCACTTGTCGAGTTAGACCTGTTTAAATCTGTTTAAATTTATGTCAATCCATATTACATTTCTTTCTTTTTTTTTAATATACAAAAGACAAAAAGGAAGGAAAAATAAAAAGAATTTACTGGGTAACGTTTTCATTTACTGTTATAATTCTGTATAATAATATCAACAATACAAAGAGACTTTGGTTTATATCTAGGAATTAATATCTTGCATATCGAGTTGAGTTTAGATAAGAATAAGAAAGCAAAATAAGGAGTGCAGCAATACTTAAATATAGTTTTATATATAAAAATATTCTCATAAGAATGTTTTAAAATTCTATTCGAAGAGAGGAGGAGGGAGGAGAAAAAAAATGTAGTGTTTTTTTTTTATATTTTTTTCTTAAGAAAAATTGTCATTTTTTTAAAGAATATTTCGAGAAATAATTCTTTTTTTTTTTTCGAGTAAATAATAAAGGGAACAAAAATGTTTATAGATTAATTCTTGACACGTAAAATTTCTAGAATTGAATTTAAATGTAATTAAATGTTTAAGATAAGATGAAACTAATTCTAGGCCTCTTAAATCATATGGTTGTTCAGCCGATGAAATTATTTGGTCAGGTATATGAAATTTAGCAATTATATTCCTGAGATCGTTAGAAATGGCAATATCTTAGCAAATTAACATTACATTAAAATAAATAAACAGCGTAAAAGATCATTAAATCAATTTAATCTTAGATGTAATTTTATAATGTTTTATCGATTCTTATTTCGATTTCGTATCGAACTAATAAAATTATTTCTCGTTTAAATGTCAAGAAATTCGTAAAAAAAAAATCCCTATTACGTCATTTTCTTGGAATTTTTCTCACGTGTGACGTTTAAAAAATTTCTACAACCGTATTTTTATATAAGAATTAAGCTTATAAAATCGTAATTTAATTAATTAATCGACCGAAACGAATTAAAAAAAAAAAAAAAGAATTTAGTTTTTCTATTCGCCTAGTGTATTTTAAATCTTGTTTATTGACAAATCATAAAGTACAAACTATTGTTTACATATAAATAATTCGTCTTAGAGTCGATGTAATTCATTTATTTTACGACCGTGTCACGTTTTACTCAAACGATAAAAACCAAAGAAATAATCATAATTAAAAACCGTTCTTGGAACTTATTCAACTTCTGTGAATTATTATGTATATTCAGTTATATTTTCTTATTCTTAAAGGTCGATAAAACAGCGTAGACATTAAAAAAAAAAATAAAGAGAAAAAGAGATTAACCTTTGAACGTTTTAGATTGCAACGCAAGAACGAACTTCCTTATCTGATTCCAAACGGATATTGACTTTAGTAAAGTAGCCTATATCTACATTTCCCGACTCCATATTTATATATTACGACATTTTCCCGTTTAAAAAAAATTAAATCGTGAAGAGATTAATAATAATAATAATAATAAATAAATAAATAAAAATAATTCGTTCGTGTTTTTTTAATAATTTCTAATTATTTTCTAAAAGTTCGTTGAGAATTGAAACGAAGATGGAGCGTAAGAACGAAGAAGACGTTACGTTTCGTAGTTAAAACAATGACGCAATGCTCAACCGCAAATGAAACTTCATCGTTGAATACGCGTCGACGAGTCGGAAAACGAAAACCGATCTCCTAACTTGTGACGTCATCTTAGCTCCACCTATACGGTTTCCTGACCACGCCTTCTCGTCCGTCTTTCTTTGGTGTGGGAACGGAGTCGCGCCTGTCAAGTTTCCGTCCTGTTTCAACGCTCCGAGAACTTTTAACGCGTTGAAAATGTCAAAAGATTACGGAAAAAACGACGTAAAAATCCGATTTTTTTTTTATATTTATTTATTTAAACGTTTTATAATTAAAAAGAATTATATATATTAAACAATAGAGATACGCGTTTCGGTGCCGCCATAAGTGAATTTTTAATTAAAACGTGGCTTTAATAAATTATTAATCGTTATATTTCGTTTATATGTACGCAATTGTAATTGTAATAATGTGTAAAAGTGTGTGTACGTAACCTGAATATAGTACAGTACAGTACAATATACACACACGTGTGGTTTGGGAAATGAGAATTAAACGCCTATCTCTTATCTTCTATAAAAATCTTAACGCATTACTGATTATAATTATAATTTATTTATAAAGTTTCTTTAATAATTTATTTATTTTTCTTAAATTATTGTAAAATCGTTTACCGAAATCGTAATGTCGGAAAATATATAATACTTTCCTTTATTAAATATATAATGTTGTAAACTAAATTAATATTTGTTTTTATTTTATTTTTAGAATATTTATTATTTTAAATGCTAAAAATGTTTCAATTAAGTTAAACGTTTTAAATACTAAATCGCTATCGAATGTCTCTTCGGAAATTATTTTTCGATACTTTATCGCATATGGCGCCATCTTCCGACTATCATTAATACTAACTATCGAAATTTTAAAGTACTGTATATATAACATTTTCTGTAACAAAAGTTAAACGGTATATTATTTATATTACGTTATAGCTATTATAATTTTTTTAACAATAATTTACACGTTTTTTTTAAAAATATAATTTTATTTCATATATTTCTTTAGATTATTAATGAACAATTTTAGATTTATAATAAAAATAAAATATACAATTTCGTTATTTATAAAAGTTTTCAGTAGGAGTTTTTTTAGTTTCGTAGTTTTTTCAACTTTTTTCGTTTTTTTTTCGCAGTTCCGTTACCGGTTAAAATAAATAAATAAATAAAATAATAATATAATAACGGTTTGAAAATGTTTCGGATATTTGCGCAGTTTTATATTCTGTAAAAGAAAGCAACGCTTTATAATTATTATTACTTTTATTGCTATAAGTAATTGTTAATTAATTGCTATTTCTTTTTAAATTATCTAGAAAATGTTTAAAAATCGAAAAATATGATCAATTGTTTGCTCATTTTCACTTTCCAGATGGCGCTAATTTCCCAATCTCTTGTTTACGTTGCTAAGAAACGAAGTTAATCGTTAGGCTTAACGTATCTTTCGACGTAGAGTTGAGAAAAACGCAAAAAATGGAGTCGTAATCCTCCGAATCAATCGGAAAGTAAACCAAAGAATGGCAAGAGTTGTGCTGAAGTCATTAGAGGGTGGACCTAAAGCTGTTGTGATCCCGGCTGGCAAAACTGTCATCGGACGTGGTCCCTTGTTGGGGGTAAGCCATCTTGGTTGAAAGCGAATCGGTTCTTTTCGTTCCCCCCTCATTCAAAAAGGTTTTTCACTAAAGTGGGAAATAAAACGTATATATAAAAAAAAATCCTTTGGCAATTTCTCTGCCGAAACGGAAGATGGCGAAACAACAATCTTATTATAATTGATGTGCGCAAATACAAAATAGAAACAAACAGCATGGTGTACTTGTGAACAATCATTTGATTTTGCTTTAAAATTCTAATATAAAAATAAAGGATAAAACATGTATTACAAATGTATATATATATATAAAAGAATAGTTAATTATAAATTAAAACTCAAAACTACATATGAGAAAAATATATATATATATATATATATTCTATGTAGAAAATACTCAATCCATACAAATGCAAAGGCAGTTAAAACAGTTTTATAAATTCAAATAGATATTAGGGAATTAAATCAATTGTTTTAATTAATTCTTGTGTTAAATAATTTATGAGGGAATATACATTGTTAAGAAATTATTAAGAAATGCTTGGAAATTGTTCGAGTTAACGGTGATAAATTATATACGTTGAGGTCGAACCGTCGAGTCTTTCCGTACGAAAAGAATTATTAGAAAAATGATCAATTTCTGCGTATTAAGAATTGTTACGTCTTTTTTAAAATGTTTTTAACATTTCAAAACTCTATATTATATTTTTACCTTTATGAATTAATAATAATACCATTTTTTTATTAAATACATCTCTAATTCTTGATGGTTTTAAAATATATCGGTTAAACTGTATTACCGTGAACTTGCTATTTAAACGGCCAATTCTGCAGTGTTAATACTTTAAATGTCGAAATAATTTATAAGTGCCGATTTTTAATTTCTTACATTGTTTCGTATTATAACATAGAGTTTTATTTAAGCTATTTTCAAAAGCTGAAATTTAGATATCATTTCTGTTTGGTTTTATATTTATATTAAGCAGTGTTTAAATTATAATTTTTGTTGGAAATTTTTAAATGGGAAACTATTTTTAATGTTTTAATGTAATGTATATTTTAAATATAATTGTTCACTCTTAATTTATCTGACTTGATTTTCTGCAAATAGGTTGACGTATATTCGTGCTCCTGACAGATTCGAGTTCTAAGCTAATTCGTTCGTCTTTACTATATGCTGTTGTCAGTTAGCTTTATATAAAATGGATAGGTCATCTCAATTGAGCAAAATGAGTTATATTAAGCATATTGAAGAAACAAATGAATTCATTGTTCCTGTTAGTTGCTGATTTGTATTATTTTAACATGTTAATAAGCTTATTAATAGTTAGTAATTATTATAATATCTTTTCATACAATAAATAGATACTAAACGTAGATAATAACCAGCATCACCATTCCTTAATTAACATCAAACTAACTCTACTATTAAACTAAATATTTATTAATGTGACGTAGAATCCAAAAAAGCGGTTGATAAATATTTAGATGAATAGATAATAGTTAAAAGATCACTGGAACAATTACATAAAGTTATAAAAATAATTGGATATTTAAAATATTTGTTACTTCTGACTAAATTGTGATATTTTAAATTTTGAAATGTTTTCATTTAGTGAAAAGTTCATTTAAATTTCAATTTTCTGTTTAGCTCTAAAATGAAAAAAATATTCAAATTTTTTAGAAATTNAATTTGTGCCGAAGTTGTAATCATTTTCTATATATATTCAGATTTTTATTTTCGGATTGAAAAAAAAAAAATTGTAAATTAAAGCTGTTCGATATTAGAAATAAAGTTAGAAAACCGTTGGAAAACAGCGTTAGTAATCCCTTTCATCATTTGAGGATCAAAAATCAGATTATAAAGTTTTGTTTCTTGTCATATATTTTTCAACTGTTGTCAACGTGGACAGGTATTGTAATCCACCACCTCCTGCATCTAACTCCTCAAATCTTTGCTATCATTTTTGTGTCGTTCTCGAATGCTTGCAATACGATGAAGTATAATAGTCTTTTCTATCTTATTTCTTTGATCAATCAGTGCAGGAAGTAGATATGTTTTGTTCGACAGTGAACACCTGATACACTAACTCAACTGCAGATCAATATCGTGTCTGCTTTTGTTGCCGTTATGTTTACGTCTTTTTTTTTTTTTTAATCAGTAGTAACGTTATGTAGGTATTTAAATTTGACTATCTGCTTTCTGTTCAGCAAATTAAACTTTTTTTTTTAATCAGTAGTACTTTTGTTGTAATCAGTTTATAATTTAATTTGATTTTTAGACAACTTCAAATAATTATTTTCATTTAGGGATTTTTTAAGATGTGAGAACAAGATTTTGATCTTTTTTCCTTTTGTTAGTGGTATTTTATAATAACAATCCATGAAACTTTTTTATAACGGTGTTGTCTCCGTAACAAACTTCACAAACGTTTTCGACTTCCACCGAGGTCTGCTTCAGGTAATGACTAAACGATGTCTCCCCTTGATCATTGGAACGATGACGCCCGAGATGTAAATAATTGTGCATATCGTGTTCCACCCCTCTGCTTGTCCCAGTTCGAATTCTTCGAACAAGTACCTCCACGCTTGCGCGATCGTTTCTTCGTCTTTAAAGTTGATGCAGGTGCCCCCAATGTTGGATTTATAAATCTCCCAGGCCTGGGACAAGCGGAGGGGTGAAACATGATACGCACAATTATTTACATCTCGGGGGTCATCGTTCCAATGGTCAAGGGGAGACATCGTTTAGTCACGACCTAAAGCAGACCTCGATGGAGGTTGAAAACGTTCGTGAAGTTTGTTATGGAGACAACACTGTTTTAAAAAGGTTTCATGGATTGTTATTACTCAACGCAGTGTTAAGTTATTAGAAGTCATTTTGTGGTATTTTATAATTTTAACATATATTCACTACTCACATCAAAATCTATATTTGCTTATCCATTAATTTAAATAATTTAATATTGGCTAAATGGATTTTAATATCATTTCTTTATAAGAACAAAAAACACTAATAAAAATTTTTTTATGCTTTATTAAATTTGTTTAATATTTACAACTGAAGAAATTTAACAATTTAATGTAATATTAAAAGAATATAACTTTCTTTACAGGTTAAAATATATTTAAATTTTGAACAAAATGATTTATTTAGATATTAATTGTTAATTTCTTAATTGATTCATATTTATTAATATAGCATATTATCTACTTTTATGAAACATTTATCAATAAACAGCAAACACTAAACACTCCAGAATCACTTGGTTTATTGTTTAATGATTTCTACATTACTATTTTCATGTTACTACACGCAATCATATATAGATTACATGTAGCAGCATCTAATACATTGAAAATGGATGACACAGTGTGTGTTGCAGTGCATCCATTTTACTGCATTTTCAAACTGAGAAGGAGATTTAAGCTCATACATAGATCATGTATATGAAATTGACTAAAAGATATATGATTAAGATACATAAATATTTCTAAAAGAATTTATTGAAAAAAATTGTAAAATTTGAAAGTGAATAATAGATAAAAATATTGAAAAAATATAGATAAATTGCTATAAGAATACTGGTTTTATATCAATAATTAATTTATTTCAAATTCACATACATTATAGATAATATTTTTAATTATATTAAGTTTTACATATAATAGTCTATAAAAAAGTTACATGGTTATTTGTTTTAATTCTGAATTTCTGATATACATTGTGTATTATTTTATTTGTTTAAAGCATGCTCAAATAATGATTGGAAAATGCAATTTAATCTAGAATATAATTCATTACAGAAAATTGTTTGGTTAAATCCAAGGAAAATGTTCATTTGTATAATTATAATAGAATTAAACAACGAAATGAATGAAACTTGGCATCATTGTGAAAAATTACATGAAATACTTCTTGTTTAAGGAAATTAAACCTAAATTTATTAAAAACTATGATGTTTTCAATTCAACTTGGGCTGTCTTTAGTACATTAAAAGCAAACAGAATACAGAATTAAAAACTCAAACATATACATTTAAAATTACAGAATGTTTTAATTGTTTTAGTTCTGTATTCTATATTTTTGATGTGTTGAAGATGGTTCAAGTTGAGTTGAAAATGTTACATCTTTAATAAATTTAGAGTTGATTTCCTTAATCAAGTAGTATTTCATTTAATTTATTAATAAAAAAATTATTATATTCTGAATAAATGTCTTCAACTTGTTTATCAAATTCTCTGAAGATTATATGCCAAAAAAATACCAAAATAGAATAAGATAAAAAAATCAAATGCTTCACAAAGATTTGAAAAGAAAATTAAATCAAGTGCTAAACTATAAATAAAACAGTTATATCAAATTATATAAACACAAATAAAATTTGTAATAAAAGATGAATTATACAAAAGAATAATAATTAAAATAACTTAGTTTTAAAATAATTATCATAAACAAACGCTTTCAACTTGTTTAATGAGTTGAAAATGTTTGTTCATAATATAATAACTTTTTCACTGATAAGATGTTTGATTCTGTTTATTGCTCAGCTAATATGTAATCTTGACTAATGTTTTCATCTCAACTATAACCTACATACTCTTTAATATGATTATAAATAAATGTTATTAAAAGTAAAACAAATATACAATGACAAATAATAATAATAGCATATAATGAATATATATGAAATGATCATTCTCTGTTGTACTAATAAATAGCAGGTTTAACATTTTCTTTACTCTGTTAAAGATGCAATTCTAGATAGATTTGAAGGTTTTAGCCCCAAATGACAAAATATACCAATTATATCATTTAGAATAATTGAATAATGATGTTTCTTAATTTAGTTACATTTTCAAAAGGTCTTTCATTATATTTAAGACATGGATGTCAGGACGAGAGATTTGTGGTCTTGTGAAAAATTTTTCGAGAAATAATAATGGTGCCAAATTGAGATCTAAATGTTAACAGTATAAAAATTTCAGATTTCAATAAATAATCAGGTCTCTGCATTAAAA